TGTCCCCTGCATCGGCAGGGGACATGGGTTTGTGCCCCGGTCCGGGAAGATCCCACATGCCGCGGAGCGGCTGGGCCCGTGAGCCATGGCCGCTGAGCCTGTGCTCCGCAACAGGAGAGACCACAACAGTGAGAGGCCCGCGTACCGCAAAAAGAAAAAAAAAAAAAAAAAATGTTTTAAATAGAGGTGCCCTTTGTTCCTGTTCATTGCTACTGAATAAAAATCTTGGTAGATGATTTTGATGCGTGCTATTGATACACTGATGAACTTGATCCTTATGTTCAACTTTCTATTGAGTCATCACCTAGATGCCTCCAGAAACTTTGACTTTAACAAGAACAAAACTGAACCTACATTCTCTCAAATCTCCTCTTGTCTTTCACATATTGTTAATATTATCACCACTCACACAAATACAGACAGTTGGGAGTCATCCTAGAATCCTTCCGCTCCTTCGTTCTCCCTATACTTTTGGCTCCAAGTCCTGTAGTACTTAGCTCGGAGGTATCTGGACATCCCTACTGCTACTTCTATCATCTGTCACCTCCTAACTCGTCTCCTTGCTTTTTAGTCTCTCCATACTACAATTCCAGCCTACATCTTACAGCCATCTTAATTTTTCTAAGAAGTGTCTTTTAAGGACCATATTAATAGTCTTTTATTGTTTTGCACAAAGGGAAGTGAATTTTAATATTTAGTCAAAATAACATGAGGCGAAACCATGGTATTTTAATGGTGTATTGGGTGTTCTCAAATTTTATCTTCTGCTATTTGACCTTTGAACTGTATTTAGGATGTGAACAGATGCTGGTGGTACTTTTAGGAAATTATGGGAGAAGACTGAGGACTAGAGAGTTAAACATGAGGATTTCTGTTTTTCCCATTCTGAATTGTAATGCTTGAAAAGAGAATCCCTATAAGTAATGTACTGAAATGAAGAGAAACAAGGAATCAGTCATCTGGGGTAAGTGTCAACCTATATAAAATTTAAATAGTGGGCTCTGCCTTGAAGGCATAAACATTTGGATATGCATATGAATTAACTGGTAACCCAGTTGTGTTTTTCAACTTGTGGGGCATAGATCCTGGAGAGTTTGGGAATTATATAGCAATGGATTGGTTCATGTGGCTGCGGCTATCTCATTGTCTATAGATTGAAAATAACGTAATTGATAACATCTTTAAAAATGTTTTTCAAGTGAATGTAATGATTAATGAAATATAAACTTAAAGTGTGACTAAAGTCATAGTAAGTTCTTTCATTATAAATTTTGCTATCAATGGATATCCAATTACAACTACTCTCACGTGAATGGTTTAATTTTTAAATTAGTAAGGGCTCCACATGCTTGAAAGGGTTAACAAGCATCGATTTAGTTGATATACATTTTTTTAATGTACAGTTTTTTAAAGATTTCAAGTGGAAATGCTAAAATGAAGATGGATGTAGTATTCTGGAATTTCTGGAAAGATCTAGGCTTACGATATAAATTTGGGAACCAGCATGTAAATATTTTTAAAGTCATGATACTAGATTAGATTACTGAGTGAATAATGAGTGTAGATTAAAATAATAATAATAAGGCAGTCCAAGGACTGAGCTGTAAGGCTCTCCAGTATTAAGAAATGAAGATGATGATAAGGAACCAGCAAAGGAGACAGAGTGGATATGAAAATAGAGGACAATCAAGAGAATATGCATCCTGAAAGCTAAGCGCTTAAAGGGCAGAAAATGATAAACTATCGCATGTTGGTAATAGATCAACTAAGGTGAAGACTGAGAAATGACCATTGGATTTTACAATGTGAGGGTTACTGGTGACTCTGACAATAGTAATTTTGGTGGAATGTGGGAGAGAAGTCCTTTTGGAGTGAGTGTAGAAGAAAATTGGAGATGGGGAATTTCAACCATTGGAAGAGTTTTGCTGCAAAGATTAAAAAGAGAGATGGAGCAGCGGACAGAGGAAGAAGTAGAGTTATAGAGTCAAGATTTGTTGTTGTTTTTAAGATGGGAGAAATAATAGCATGATCACACACTGAGGGGAAAGTTCCTGGAGAGAACCATTTCAGTTGTGTTAATACTACTAATTAGCCCCTTCTTGTTTTTAAGCTGGAGTATATTCTTCTATAATTATATATCTATTTTTAGTAATTAAGTTTTCAGACATCTAGGAAAGCTGAATGCTGTCTCAGGGTACTGCCTCTACCCTTTCTTTAAAGTACTGTTTGTTCAGGTCAACAATGACATCCTCATTATGGGATCTAATGGTTAATTTTCTGCTCCATAACTGCTTAATATGATGATTCTGATCCATCCTCCTACTTGTTGCAACTCTTTCGTCGGCTTCCAGGCCACTGCTCGCTCTCTCCTGATCCTCCTTTCTCCTTCCTCTACACCTTCTCAGTCTGTTTTGCCTGCTCCTACTCTGCCTTCCCTTCCAGAGTTGGCATCTTCAAGACCTTGCCTTTGATTATTCTCTCTCGTGTATTCCCACAGTTATCACTTCCAATCCTTTGGTTTCAATTGTTACCTCTATTCATTGTTCAATAACCTATATAATAATAATGGCATCTAACATTTACTGAGAATTTACTATTACGTGCCAGGCAGTTTGCTAACCTCTTTATCTGCCTTGTGTCATTCCATCCACACCAAAAACTCCTCTGAGTATCACCAGCCTCATTTTCAAATGGGGAAGCTTATGCTCAGTAAGGCTCTGAATCTTGCCCAATCCCATGGAGTTAGCAAATGGCAGAGCTTTGATTGAACTCATTGTCTATCTGATTCTAAAGCTGTTGTAACGACTATGCTTTATTTTCTTCTAAAACTCTAACTTAGATCTCCCTAGTTTTAAACTGGTACATCCATCCAACTGCCTAATGGATGTAGCTCAGGCGTTTCTATCTTAATAGATACTAAAGTAAATACAATGTTGCCCCTCGTTCCAACCCCTTCCCTACCCTGCAGATGTCCCTATTCTAACATCTCCTCCTCTGATATTTCCTGTTATTTCCTATCATGGTTTCTCCTTCAATCTATTCCCCAAGTGTAGACTGTTCTGGATTTTCCCTCTCCCTCACCCTCATACCCACTGTCTCCACATCTATCTGTCTCTGCATCCCAGCGCTGCTGACATCCTCCTCTGCTTTCTAATTGACCTCCTGCTGCCGGGCATCCCATTGCAGTTGGCTCTCCCCACGGCTGTCAAGGTCAGCTATTGAAAAAGTTGATCTGATTTCACTTCACTTAGAAACCTCTCGTGGCCCTTGTTACCTCCATTGTCCTTTCCATTCTATTTACAATATCACTCTATAATTGTCCTTGCCCATCTTGCATATCAGAGGCATCATGAACGCACGTGAAGAATTATATTTCAGAATATATGTGGATGCTCTTACGCTGAAGAAAACAAAATGAGTTCCAAAGTCTTTACTGAGTTTTAAGTGGCTTCTCACTTATTCTTCTCGATCAATGGGAGACTGATGTACAACTATTGTCATGTGAGACTGCTCAATTTTTTGACATTAAAAAAGACATTCTTATTTATAACTATTACATACCAAGTAATAGTTTTCACGTGAAACTCTTGTTTTAACTAATATTCTCAGCTAGAGCTGTTCTCTGGTTGTGGACCCTGCAGACAGGGCATATTAATTTTACATAATAAACTCTGGTAAAGTATCAGTGACAGAATGGAGATGGGTAAGTGGCAATGGGGGAAGATGAGGATACTGACACCAGGGTCTTTTCAAAACAGGAACAGGATGAACTCTACATTCTTAATAGCTCAGTTAAAATAATTTTAAAAGTGCCTCTGGTCCTTTGTTAGCTTCCAATAAAAAATGCAAGCAAAGACTGGAAAAAAGATTATACTTAGAAATACGCTATATTTTAATATAGCACAACCTGGATCTCAGTTGTGCCCTGGAATAAAAAGGACAATCCTCTTAGATAGATCAGTCTCCCAGATAAGAGGCCATGTGGGTGGTGGAGAAGGGACAATGGATTCAGATCCATCTGGGCTCAGATCCTGGGTATACTCCTGGATGACTGTGTGATCCTAAGTCCTGTCCTGTCTCTGAGTCTCAATTAGCTTTAAATGAGGGGAAATCTTATTTGCAATATAAATATAAGGGTTTCTTAGATGAGAAATTAACACATTGATCTGTACTCCTACATTGGAATGCTGTAAATAGCTCACGTCTACTTAGTTTCAACGGTTAGAATTGTAAGTCTAGAAGAAACACCAAAGTTTGTTTATTTCAGCCCCATTATTTTACAGATGTGGAAACCCAAGAAGATCAAGAGACATATCATAAACTATTTGTGTATCTGGGACTAGACCTCAGTATTCTAGTTTCCTAAGCTAGCATCGTTAACATGCTTGGATGGGACTATTAGGAGTTCTCAGCTAGGTAGGAAACTCATACCTCAACACAGTTACCAATATTAAAAGGCTGGAACATCAGCTATAAGTGAAGGGGGAGCCACAGGAAGGAAGGATTCATTTTCCTGAGGACCACAAAGAAAGCTTCATCAGATCTGTTATAGCGGCTGGAGAACATTGTACTCTTCTCACTTATTCCACTACAACTCACCATTTAGTAATTCAACAAGTATTTATTTTAAGGTGTTATTAACATCAATGAAGCTTTTCATTATAATGTACTTTTTCTTAGTCGATGAATACCCAAGAATAGGTACCATCATGTGATTGTCTAACAACTATATATTTTTTAAATTCTAGAAAACGGATCCACCTACAAAAAAAAATTGAGAAAAACCAGCTTAGTTGATATTTAAAAGAAATTTAAAGACTTGATTTTAATTAATGCTCTCAGGGTTTAACAAATATAGTCTTGTGTTGCCAATTACATTTTTTGGATGGGGAACTAGCCTACAGGTTTTACATGACAGAGGAGGATTTTATTCTGATTCCTCAGGGACTAAGTTCAAAGAGTTTTAAATGCTCCCAGGTGGCTTTTAGAGTGCGGTTTCAGGACGGGTGAGGTAAAATGTGGGAAAATAGGCCAACATAATTTAGTTTTCATTTGTGTTGGATAATTAGGAGAGGATGTGAATTGTTTTCCACTCTAGTTTAATCCACCACAAACTCAGTTATATCTTAGACCAATGTGTCGGGTCAGGTTCAGATAAGCAGATGGCACACTCCAATTAGGGCTAATGAGAGAAGCGTGGGCAGGGTTTAGGAAAGCCTCAGCACCTTAGGGCTAGGCCTGAAGGGGGTGAGGAGACTATATTTGTTAAGCCCTGAGAGCATTAATTAAGCAGTTCCTGGAATCTGCAGAGAAGGAAGAACAAAGGGGGTCTGCTGACAGAAAAAGAAAATGCCCTGAGACTTCTCCCTCCCACCCTCTGCGGCTCCTGGAAGTGTCTCCCTTTGACCACTCCCAGTGAAAGAGGAGGGCTGGGAAGCCAGGGCACAAACCTGAAAGTGGCTCTGAAGAGACAAGGGAAGGATACCCCGTACCAGCAACCACACCAGGTAGTCTATCAAGTATTTATCTCCCACTACCTAGACAGGCTGGGAAAGGAAATGGGATTTATACTATTATGATTCAATTCTTTATGATTTCATTCAAACAGTGTGTATTTGGCTAAATCCCTCAATTTCTGAGTCTTAGTTTTACATTTGTAAAATGTGGGTAGAAAACCTACTTTCCCAGCTTGTCCTCAGGTTTGAGAGAGTATGTAGAATAGGACATAGCAAAGTCTATTTGATGCTGAAAACTTTAGGGCAATAAAGAACCTTAGAGCTTAGTCCTCTATCATCTTTGCTCTTGTCTGGCAACTACTCAGTGTCCACTGCATGCTCTGTGCTTAGGGAATTTGTATTCTTGGCAATTACAGAACTGGTTGGGAATGTATTACATGAGGATATCAAACCTGTATCCTGTACAAGCATTAACTATAGTCTGATCTCAGTATGTCTTGCACATGTAATTTTACTATATTTTGGTGCTGATGTGACTAATAAAATACAAATTTATTTTAGAGTGTTATGAAGTCATGGGGCCTTGTTTATTTTTATCTTGGTATATTTTCTCTATCAAAGGGACACTGAAAGCACACTGTCTTCTTGTGGGGACAGGTGAAGAAAACCTTTTTTAAAAAAATTCTAAAAGGAATCTTTGTAAAAATGTTTAGGGGTCACTGATATATTTTGGTTTTAGGTATCAACGTGACTTAGATTTTATAAAGAAACATTAGGCCTTAAACATCTTTTAATGAGGACATGGCTTACCCAGTTCTGCATAATAAATTTGAGGGCAGTACTGGTACCAGTTCATCAGTGCCTTTAAAACGGAGAGTCTCCTCTTTCAAGCTCTCAGTGCAGATAATAAATAGGAAAAATGTCTAATTTCAGGGTAATTCTCCAATATATGAATGGGGATGAAATCTGGAAAAGAAAATATATTTTGTCCTGAATGGAGGTCATTCATGTTTTTTAAAAATAAGAGAGGCTATATCAACCCTTTTCTCTTCTGTCAGTGTCTCCAGTACAACACAGATCTTCTTGTCATTCTATTCCACAGGCAGAATGTGATGAAAAGAAAATGGCCTGTGGATCTAGACAAACCTGGTGTCACATCTGGATCCACAAGTATTAGGTGTGTAAATATGCATAATATACTTCTAACTGGGCCTCATGTAAAAATATCCAGATTGCAATGCTATTTTGAGTTTTGATGAGATAGTTGATATTGTGGGGATGGAAAAAAAGTAATTTCCCTCCTTGGGTGCTATGGCTCTACAGAACTCTCATCACTGTAGTGCTTAAAATTTCAGGACTAGAAGGACCCCCAGTAGTCTCTAACGTGCTTATTTTATTTATTTTAAATTAATTTATTTATTTATTTATTTATTTTTGGCTGTGTTGGGTCTTCGTTGCTGCGTGCGGGCTTTCTCTAATTGCGGCGAGCAGGGGCTACTCTTTTGTTGCACTGAGTGGGCTTCTCATTGTGGTGGCTTCTCATTGCGGAGCACGGGCTCTAGGCGCACAGGCTCAGTGGCCATGGCTCACGGGCCCAGCCGCTCCGCAGCATGTGGGGTCTTCCCGGACCAGGGCTCGAACCCGTGTCCCCTGCATTGGCAGGCGGATTCTTAACCACTGTGCCACCAGGGAAGTCCCTAACTTGCTTATTTTAAAGATGTAAATGTAAAGAGGTTATAGGACATATCTCATGGTCATATGAGTAGTCATAAAATTCAGACTGGAATGGAACTCAGTCCTTTCCTGAAAGTGAAATTTGTCAACGACCAAATGTAATGAGTAATCGAATTGAACTGAATACATGAATCCACTGAGCCGATCCTGAGACCCAAAAGGTGAAGAGGTCGACACAATCAACAAGGTGACCGTCTGGTTGAGAGCCAGTACAACCACATCAGAACTCTGATGATGATCCGTCACAAAATACAATTACACTGTGCTGTAAGTCCAGAGGAAGGAGAAATTTAACTCCGCCTGAGGTAGAAGAACATAATGAAATCGAATTTGCATTTAATAAAAAGTGGACTAGAGGGATAGGGATGGGGAGTGGGAGGGAGACGCAAGAGGGAGGGGATATGGGGATATATGTATACGTATAGCTGATTCACTTTTTTATAAAGCAGAAACTAACACACCATTGTAAAGCAATCATACTCCAATAAATATGTTAAAAAAATAAAGATGTAGGAGTTTCATGCCCCAAAAAATAAATTAAAAATAAAATAAAAGGTGGAGACCCATCCAGCTATTCCCATCTGTCTCACTATTTATTAATTTAGCAAATATATGCGTATCCACAGCTAAGATGCTCTCTTAGTAATAAGGAGGATAAAGCACTTCTAAAGACTTCACAAAGACATGAGGGAGATCTGCTGCAGAGGGGATACGGCATTCAGTTGCTGATGGTATCCCTAAGAACAAAACAAGTGCGGAAGATTAATGAATTGTCAGAACAGCAGGTAAGGTAATCCTAGGTGTCAATGGGGCACCTGGCCAGGCCTCTGAGGCTCTCCCTCAGCAGGTGCACTAACACTTTAAGAAGCAAGAAACAGCAGTTCCTCCGCCTCCCTCGCTCCGCATCCAGTCCTGGCCGGGCTAGCGCCTTCACGCCCTGCGGGCCACGCCTCTGCGCGCTGGTTGGCCCTCCCAGACGTGATGAAACCTCCTGCACGCATTACAGGAGGCAGACGGTTATAAAGTGAGAGGTGAGGGGAGGTCCTCAGCCTGCAAGTCGCAGCCTGCTCACTTCACGCTCGCCTGCCCGCCCACCCCGCTGGAGCCCAGGTAGGCCGGGCAGCCGGGGGTCGCAGCGCTCTCCCAGCGTGCCGTGGGGCTGCCCCGGGAGAGGGAGGAGGATGCGCAGCAGCCCGGCCTGCCCGACGGGAGGGCAGACGCGGATCCCGGCGTCTGCGGCTGCTGCGGAGCAAAGGGGGCGGGGCCGATTGTTGCGTCCCTGGGAAGACCTCCGCTGTGGTCCCGGAGGGAGGGACCTAGTGACCCGCAGAGCCAAGGCCCTGCCGCTTTGGAGAGAAGGCGGCGGCGGTTTAAGTTGGCCATTTTAAATTTCATTATTTTGTATTATATTGTGTCGAAGCCTGCGGAAGTTTTCGCATTTCAGGGGACCCGCTCCGATGGGCTGGAGGATGCACGCGGCCCGAGTGCAGTCGCGAGTCATGGGGCGACGCGGTCGCTAGGTCCTGGTCCGAGAGGGAGGGTCTGCAGGGCTGTCTGTTAAGGCCTCGGAGGATACCCCCTCACCTCCGGCAACCTCCACCCCTTCACCTAGTTACCCCTACCCCCATCTGTGTAGACTGCAAGACTCAACAAGTGACTTGCTGAGCAAATCCTGCCCAGAAGAGATCTGGGCACGACAGGCGGCGCAGTATGGGAAAAGGCAAAAGAAACGGGCATGCCTTTTCTCAATGGATATCTATTTTATAGGGCTAGTTTCAGATTAATGTTATTATTTTAATGAAGGGACAGTGTTTTTCCTCAGCCTGTGGCCTACATTATTTCTTTACCATCTATTGCCCGGGGTGCTTGATAAATAATTTAAAAGCACTGGTAACTCAACTTTTTCATTGATTGATCTCATTATTGTAAGATTAATTAAAAGTAATTTATGGCTTAGTAATATTCCATTGTATCTATGTGCCACATCTTCTTTATCCATTCATCTGTCGATGGACATTTAGGTTGGTTCCACGTCCTGGCTATGGTAAATAGTAGAGGTAGACATAAAAAATGGACTGGAGGACATGGGATGGGAGGGCAAAGATGGGGTGAAGTGAGAGTAGCATCGGCATATACACTACGGAATGTAAAATAGTTGGCTGGTGGGAAGCAGCAGCATAGCACAGGGAAATCAGCCCGGTGCTTTGCGATGACCTAGAGGGGTGGGATTGGGAGGATGGGAGGGAGGCTTAAGAGGGAGGGGATATGGGGACATGCGTATGCACGTGGCTGATTCGCTTTGTTGTGCAACAGAAACTAACACAGTATTGTGAAGCAATTATACTCCAGTAAAGATCTATTAAAAAAAAAAAAGTAATTTAGGTCTTGAACCTGTGCAGGAGTTAGTTGCTGAAATCTTAAACTTCACCATATCACTTTGCTTTTAAGTATTGGTTTAAGAAATAAAGTGCTCTGAAACAACACTGTCCAATTCAGTAACCACTAGCCACATGTGACTGTTGAGAACGTGAAGTGCTGGCTAATCCGAATTGAAATGTGCTTAAAGTGTTGATGATTTAATAGAAAAAAGCAATGTAAAATATCTTGTTAATATTTTTGTACTAATTACGTCTTGACATAATACTATTTTCAGTACATTGTGTTAAAATCTATTTGAAATTTCACTTTTTAAAAAAATTTTTATTACGCTTTTGCCTTTTTACTTTTTTAATGGCGCTACTAGTATATTTAACATTACGCATGTGGCTCACATTTCAATTGGACAGCACTGCTGTAGACATTTATGAGGAAATATGGAAAATTACTGGGAACAGGTAACAGCAGTAGGAAAAAGCGCTGCCAAGTAGGATGTTTGCAAGTAAGACTGTTTCCAATAAAAACAATAGGTGATAGTTTTAATTTGCTTTTCCTACTGGAGAAATAAGTGTGCTTTGCAATCGTTTGTCGCCCCTGTTTCCCCTCCAATTTAGTGCTTACTGAGTTTCTGTAGCATGCTTAATGGGATTCACTAAGCAGCATTAGGAAGACTTAGGTAAATGACTGACTAATCACCGCACATGATTTCAGAGCACTTTCCCAGCCCATTTTTCTAGAGTCAAAAGTAGATGGCTTATTAATAGTCACCTCACTTAAACCTCAGTGAATTTTCCCAGTAAATCTCGAAGTAAATCCAAGCGTACCTAGCTTTGCAGGTACTGCTTTTTTTCTTTTTTAAACAAATTTAAGGTTTGTGACAACTCTGCATAGGTGTCATTTTTCCAACAGCATTTGCTCATTTGCTCACTTCCTGTCTGTCACATTTTTGTAACTTGAAACTTTAGCGATCTGTGATCAGTGATCTTTGATGTTTCCACTGCAAAAAGATTACTACTTGCTGAAGACTCAGATGATGGTTAGCATTTTTTAGCAATAAAGCATTTTTAAATTAAAGTATGTACATTGCTAGACATCATGCTTTTGCACACCTAATAGACTACAGTATAGTGTAAACATAACTTTTATATGCACTGGGAAACCAAAAAATTCATGTGACTTGCTTTATTGCAGTGGTCTGGAACCAAACTGACAATATCTCAGAGATGTTCCTGTATCTGATTATGGGCTATTCGGCCAAATGCATGGGAGGGGCTGCATAGGACATGTGATACTTCATTTCTGAGTTGTGTTAGTTAATACCATTTTCCATTAATTGGATCTGGTCTCATAAAAGCTCCAAATAAGGCTTTGGTTCATTTAAATACAAATGAAATGTCTTCAGAGGATTGTTCCAAGTGATTGATGCAACTTGAATATTTATATTTTTTCTTGATGCCTTTTATCTAGGCATTTGCTGCAAATTTCCATTTAAAAAAAATACCAAAATAGTTTGCAAGTTATAGATATTTAGGTAAAGTAACTGTTTTGAGCTGACAGCATTCAACTAAAACTGCTGTTTATTTCACAGTTGAGAATTGAATTTGAATTGCAAAGTAATTAACATTTGTAGGAAGTAACTTATTTGCTTCTTGGCCTACAGGGAATAGCCAAATTGTTTTTCTGAGATACTGGTGTGTATGTCCCACCTACTTTGCTTTCTTACTCACCAAGGTAGCTTTGAGACAAAAATGTTTAACATTTTTGTCTTTTAGGACATTTTGATGGTGAACATTTTGTATCTCTGTCAACTTAAATTTTTTTGTTGTTATTAAACTAAGATATCAGATAATATTGCTTTCTCTTTTCTTTTTAGAACTTCTCTGATTGTGTTTGAATAAGTCACTTGGAGGTAAGCTAGAAGTAGTGAAATGTTTATAATAGCTGTGTATCTTAATGTTACACTTAGGCAGTATGTATGATCATCTTTTCTACCCACTATACATCTATTAGTACAGGTATAAAGCCGGCATTTAATTGTCAAGGAGACACAAGAGGCGACTGTAGTAATCTGGAGCATCTCTTGGATTTTTCAGGGCTTTTGGGATTCTGGGATGGAGAGAGTGGGGATGGGATCTCTGGCAAGGATGGAGCCAGCCTGCATGTGTATCTGTATCTTGGGTGTAAACCTAGGATACAAAACAGAATGTGGCCTGAACACTGCTAGCTCTAGCTGACCAAATCCTAATGTGAGAGGGATGCAGCCTTTGACTGGGGGCTAAGCTACTATAGCTGGCTGGATGTTAAGGTCATCCATCTTTCCTGAATACTTGTAAGTAAATTAAATCATTCTCTGTCCCTGTGTGCCTGCCAACCTACTGGAAAATTGCTGTAGATAAGATAATTTATATTTCAGTCTTTGAAGTGGCTTATGCAAGTTTGGGCAATCAAGATTGAATACAGAATTGGATTGGATATTGAATATTTAATTTGTCTGTTTTTCTCTCCATAGAGAGCCCATAGCTCCATTGCACCATGTGTGGCATTTGGGCCCTCTTTGGCAGTGACGACTGCCTTTCTGTTCAGTGTCTGAGTGCTATGAAGATTGCACACAGAGGTCCAGATGCATTTCGTTTTGAGAATGTCAATGGATATACCAACTGCTGCTTTGGATTTCACCGTTTGGCAGTGGTTGACCAGCTGTTTGGAATGCAGCCAATTCGAGTGAAGAAATATCCTTACTTGTGGCTGTGTTACAACGGTGAGATCTACAACCACAAGAAGGTAAACAGAATAAAACCAGAAGCTATCTGGATGTGATTAAGCCTCAGAGCTAGTTGGTTATAATAATTTTATTTTGTATAATGCTTTTTGCTTTCAAACACTTTCCATGTTCATTCTCATTTGCTCCAATTATATATAGAGAGACAGGGCACCAATGCACAAAGAGGTGAAATGACTTGGTCACACACACAAACAAAATGATAAAAAGGATTACAGGGCTTCCCTGGTGGCGCAGTGGTTGGGAGTCCGCCTGCCGATGCGGGGGACACGGGTTCGTGCCCCTGTCCGGGAAGGTCCCACATGCCGCAGAGCGGCTGGGCCTGTGAGCCATGGCTGCTGAGCCTGCACATCCAGAGCCTGTGCTCTGTGACGGGAGAGGCCACAACAGTGAGGCCCGTGTACCGCAAAAAAAAAAAAAAAAAAAAAAAAGAAAAAGGATTACACTTCAGGTTTTTAACTCTTAGAATCATTGTACATATACTAGGCATTCTGAAAAAATGAATATGGAGCTCATGGATATGGGAGATCCAGTTTCAGTATAGGTGGTCAGAGAAAGCCTCTTGAGGAATTGACACTTCAACTCAGACTTGAATGGACAAGGATTAGCTAGCAGGGCTGGGAAGGGCATTTTCGTGCAGAGGGAATAGCCATGCTTAGAACCCTGAGATTGTCATAAGTGAACAAGGGCCAGGTGGAACTGGGGAGGACCAGAGCAAGGAGGACTTGGTAAGGAGGTAGAATATAATTCTGAGAGCAGTGAGATTTGAAGATTTCAAGGCAGGGATAGAATTTAATAGTTTGTGGGTGATCACATTTGTAACTTATATTTAATGCTGCCCTTAAGATGTTGCTGTTGCATAATTAATCAGGCAAAGGATAGACAGGTAGCCAGATGCAGTGGAGTGCAAGAAGTAAGACTTTCGGCAGCACTAAAATTGGAACAGCTTTTTTTTTTTTTTTTTTTTTTTGCGGTACGTGGGCCTCTCAATGTTGTGGCCTCTCCCGTTGTGGAGCACAGGCTCTGGACGCGCAGGCTCAGCGGCCATGGCTCACAGGCCCATCCGGTCCGCGGCATGTGGGATCTTCCCGGACCGGGGCACGAACCCGTGTCCCCTGCATCGGCAGGCGGACTCTCAACCACTGCGCCACCAGGGAAGCCCTGGAACAGCTTTTTAATCTGGTGAAAGCATACTCTTAGGATGAGAGTAGTGAAGGTTTGGAAATTCTAACCCGAGGAAGCCAGATTTACTAAGAGCCTTGCAATCTGGAATTGTTCGGCTGGTGTTTCATAAGAAATTTTTTAATCTAAAATTTGCAAGTTATTTTTTTTTGTCACTCTCCACCCCAACTTTTAATTTTGAACATCTCAAATTTACAAAAAAAGAACAGAACATTGAGCATCTGGATGGAATAATTGTTAATGTTTTGCCTTTTTTGCTTTATCTCTCTGTCTGTATACACACACATTCAATTTTGGGCTTAATCATTTTAGAGTATACTGCAGATATTATAACACTTTACTCCTAAATATGTAAGCATTTGTCTGCTAAGAATAAGGGCATTCTTCTACCTAACACCAATACTATTATTATACCTAAGAATCCATAATACCCTCTAATATCCAGTTCATATTAATATTTCCCAGGTGTTCCACGAATATATTTATAGCTGTTTTTTGGTTTTGAGCCAGATTTCATTCAAGGGTCATACATTTGGTTGTGATTTTTCTCGGTACTTTTTGAGACTTCTTGATATATGTCTATCATTCATGAGTAGGGATTTATATTCTAGTCACCCTCTGGCCATTTTTATCTCTGAATAATAGCTTTAGTCTTTGTTTGTTGTCGGCTTATAGGAACACTCAAGAATAGGCTTTTCATTTGAAGAGTCGTTATAGTTATTCAGCATATTCCTTTCATATATTTAATAAGGGCCTACTATACATCAGACATCATTTTTATAGGTGATTGGAGGTGAAATGGAACAGGAAAGGTAAGGGAGTTTCAAGCTAGTGGGAACAGAGGAGGGGGCAGTTAAAACTTCCTTATAAAGCCAAGTTGGTACCATATACGTGAGAATGCTAAGTTTGTATTATGGCAGTAGCATCCTGACTTTCACCTTAAATTAGGTAGGAAATGCCATGTTTTACTTGAACAACATAGCTGCTTTTGTGTATTTTGTTAAATATTTTGAAAATATTTCTTTTCTAAATTAGCCAAATATGTTGTATTTTCAGAAGCAGAGAAGTTCCATTGCTTCTGCCAATCATTCAGATTATCTAGTGTGAGCAGCTAAAATCTGTCTAAAGAGTAGAATTGACATTTCAGGCTTATATAAAGAATTCTGCAACATAAGCTTCAAAGGTCCCCCTTTTTTGGTGAAAATAGAATTTACTACTAAAATCCAGCCAGCAGTTGGGAGTGGAGGGAGACTGGTCAAGGAGAGGAGGAATACGAGTGAAGGTTGGGCAAAGAGGAGGCCCCCTCCCTGCAGGGGGCATCAGAGGCCTACAGCCAGCAAGTCAAATGGCAGTGTGATTTCTTCGTGATGGCAGAATATGGGGGCTTTAAGCTAAGTGTGGCTTCAGGAGGGTGGGAAGTATACACCTGAATCATTAACCAGTAAGTTACCTGTAAACTTTAGGCCAAAGAGCCATGATGATGATGTGGTGGTGGAGTATAGATTTGGAAGCTGTTGCTTGCTGAAATCATCCAATGCTTTAGGCTCATTTATCCTGCAGGTACTTAAGCCCAGAAGGGTCAGCAGAAGACCCCTTCCAAACACTGCCTCCTAGCGACAGAGATCATCGCTGACAGTCTCTCAGAGCAAGGAGAGGTGACCAGGAGGTGGCTTTGTAGTTATTGGAAGCGGCCAAAGCCCGTTTTTGTACAGTTCCGTGCTTATGGACAAAAGGTTCACAAATCTATAGAGTGAGCATGGTTGTGAAGCATGCTCTTTACAGGTCATACACATATAAACATAGAGACTTACTTTTTGAAATTTAAAAACATGTTTTAAATGTTCAGATGTACCCAGCATTTCAACTTGTTTTTGTGAACCTCCTCTCTATTATCAGCCAAAAATATGAGTAAGTACAAAGAGGAACATACCAAGAAGTTTTCACCCTCACAGTTTGCCATTGGTGAGGGAGAGCCACGGAGTTTGGGCCTAACTTAATTGAACCCCCTCTACATGCAGTGGGAATGATGGTCTCTTTGCTGTTCCACTGGGGGATGTGGATGAATAAAGCTCCAGCATCATTTTGTCCATCACTGAGAAGTAGCTTTAATGCCTCTGCAGTGGTGGAAGGATGGGATGCTATAGTCCTCCCCAGGACCAGCAGCTCTGTGTTGGACCATTTGTCTCCACCATTGTGATGGAATCATTTATTTGTCAGGGAATAGTGCCAAATGTGTTTGTCCTTTCACTTTCTATTTTCATAGGAAGTCTGTGAGGCTGAACTTGAAGAAGCTCAGCTGATACTATATTCCCAAACCAAAATCTCACAGTTGAAGAAGACACATTTTTAGTGTCCATGACACCTGGCAATCTATTTGCTTAACATATTTATGTAAATACACGTGTATTACATACACAGTATGTATATAATATACATTTCCATCCCTCCACGGAATACAGAGGTACATTGCGTCTGTATTCTGGTTATCAGAATGCAACTAAAATTTTCACAGGCTTAGCTTTATGTTATAAAGAATTTGTATGATTCTGAGTTCAAACAGGCTATATTTTTATAATGCCATGATTCTTTTAAATCACTAACGTGCATGAAATTATAAAGCACAAAAATACTGAAGCAACTTTGCAATAAAAAAAAATTAGTGAATGCACAAGGATTCTAACATTTTTGTTTTGCTATTGTTTCCTTAAGCTGCAACACCATTTTGAATTTGAATACCAGACCAAAGTGGATGGTGAGATAATCCTTCATCTTTATGACAAAGGAGGAATTGAGCAAACAGTTTGTATGTTGGATGGGGTATTTGCATTTATTTTACTGGATACTGCCAATAAGAAAATATTCTTGGGCAGAGATACCTATGGAGTCAGACCTTTGTTTAAAGCCGTGACAGAAGATGGATTTTTGGCCGTGTGTTCAGAAGCTAAAGGTAATGATAGAATTTTACTGTAGATTTTCATTACTGTCCTGATTCTGTGTTTTCTTTTAAATAATATTTATAAATCTAATCCAATGCATATTTACAAATGGGGCAACCCAGATTTTTTACAAGTCACTATGTGAGTCATGGACTTTCTGAGCTTTTCTTTATAAAGCCAAGGAGTTGGACTCTCCTTTTAGCACTTAAATTCTGTAAACCTTAGAGGATAAGTCTGTAGTAAAGTCATTTAATTTTTGTCGTGCTGATAGGCTCTGCGTCTGGTCTGATCCCATATGTATTTTCAAGTTTTCCTATGTCACATTGTAATGGTAGGGTTGGCCGGCCCTGCAGTTATTGCACTGTGGTACTGTGCCATGGCTATCACACAGACTCATTATAATTTAGCATTTTTTAAACAGCTTTATTGGTGTATAATTTACATGCCATACAATTCTTCCATTTAAAGTGTACAATTCAGTGGTTTTTAGTATGTTCATAGATATCTGCAACCAATGCTTCGGTCAATTTTAGAAATTTTTTATCACCTCAAAAATAAACCCCGTAGGGAAATCCCTGGCGATCCAGTGGTTAGGACTCTGCGCTTTCACTGCTGAGGGCCCCGGTTCGATTCCTGGTCAGGGGAACTGAGATCCCACAAGTCTTGCAATGCAGCCAAAAAAATAAAAATAAACCTAGTACTCTTGAGCTGTCACTCCCCATCACTCCATATCCATCAGCCATTAAACTTCCTGTCCCCAACTACCTCCTCTACCCCCTCTCCCCCCCAAGTCCCAGCCAACTGCCAATCTGCTTTCAGTCTATGTGGATTTCCCTATTCTGGGCATTCCATATGAACGGAGTCATACCATATGTGGTCTTTTGTTACTGGCTTCTGTCACTTGGCATAATGTTTCCGAGGTCTGCCTATGTTGTAACATGTATCAGTATTTACTTTTTATGGACAAAAGATACTTCATTACATGGATATACCACATTCTGTTTATCCACTGTTAATCCTTTTGTCAGTTGATGGACAATTGGCTCTTATGAATAATGCTTCTCTACATATTTGTGTACAAGTTTTTGTGTTTTCATTTCTCTTCGGTGTATACCTAGGAGTGGACTTGCTGGGTCACGTGGTTTACTCTGTGTTTACAAATAGTGTCAAAAAGAATAAAATACTTGAGAATAAATCTAACAAAAGCAGTGCAAAACTGTATGTTGAAAACTATAAAACATTGTTGAAAGAAATGAAAGAAGATCTAAATAAATTGGAAAGCATACAATGATCATGGATCGAAGACTTAACATTGTTAAGTTGGCACAGACTCCCCCAATGAATCTACAGATTCAGCATGACCTCTGTCAGAATCCCAGGTGATTTCTTCGTAAAAATTGGCAAGCTGACTCTGAAATTCATAGGGAATGGCAAAGGACTCACAATAACCAAAACAATCTTGAGAAAGAATAAAGTAGGAGGATTCTCACTTCCTGACTTCAAAACGTACTACAAAATAACGGTAATCAGGACAGTGTGGTACTGGCAGGACAGACATATAGACCAGTGGAATCGAACTAAGAGTCCAGAAGTGAATCCATACATCTGCAGTCAACAGATTTTCATCAAGGGTTCCAAGACCATTCAATGGGCGAAGAATAGTCTTTTCAACAAATGGTGCTGGGACAACTGGACACACACATGCAAAAAAATGAAGTTATTAAACCTTTACCTCACACCATACATAAAAATTAAAGTGGGTCAAACTCCTAAATGTAAACACTAAAACTATAAATCTCTTAGAAGAAAATATATGGCTAAATCTTCATGACCTTGGATTTTGCAGAGATTTCTTAGATATGACCCCAAAAGCACAAGCAACAAAAAAATAAATTGGATTTCATCAGAAGTAAACATTCTTGTACTTCAAAGGACACCATCAAGAAAGTGAAAAGACAACCCACAGAATGGAATAAAATACTTATAAATCATATTTAGCATTTCTTACAAAGTTGAGGAAGGCATTCATCTTTTATCTCCTAGCTAGATAGAATGACATCTTAAAATCTGGTCTACCTGCCCGTCTGCCTTTTTGCCTCATTCCTTAAATCACTTACTGTGATCGTATGGCAAAGAAGTATATATGTTATTTACCGAAAGTGCTGTTAGGGAAGCCCAGCAAAGAGAACACAAGGGAAAAGCAGACTCCATACTTCCACTGTGTCTCCAAAACCTTGATATGGAATTACGGTCTCACTACAATTTACCCTCTGAAATTTCTTGACTTGTGATTTTCTTACATCCTTAACACTGCCCTTTTCTAAACAACATGATCTCATCTAGAATACTGTACTGCAACAGTTTTCCTTTCTCAGTGCTTTTAGAATAGCCTATCAAAAACTCATTTGGTCATGGTGCTCCCTGCTTAAAATCTTGTAACTGCTTCTCCCCCTACGGGAGCTGTGTGGCTAGCTTGAGGTCTGCTAGCTGGTGATAGGATCTGGGGCTTGTCTGCTGTTTGAATTCCACACTACACAGTAGATTCCTGGGTCAACAAACTCAAATTATAAATCATAATAAGTATTCTGTGTAGATAGGCTTACTGTTTATAATAAACCACTGATTTTTCTTTTCTTTTTTTTTTTTGCGGTATGTGGGCCTCTTACCGTTGTGGCCTCTCCCATTGTGGAGCACAGGCTCCGGACTCGCAGGCTCAGCGGCCATGGCTCATGGGCCCAGCCGCTCCGCGGCATGTGGGATCTTCCCGGACCGGGGCATGAACCCGTGTCCCCCTGCATCGGCAGGCGGACTCTCAACCACTGCGCCACCAGGGAAGCCCCTGATTTTTCTTTTTTAATCACAGATCATGGTGAAGTCAAGTGGGTTACTTCCTGTGAGAACTTATTGAGGGAATTTAAATTATAATGTTTAACTCACACACAGTATATAATAGCTACATAAGGGATAGATGTTTGATTTCTTAATATCTGAGTTTAAAGTACGTAATGGTGGATCATTTTGCCTGTTAAAAGACTGGGAACCACAGCTATTTTCTTAAGATACCTCAGTGATGACAAGTGACTACCAGGATATCATAAAATTAAGTTTCAAGTCATTCTCTTTGCTTAATAAATGTATCTTTTCTTGTATTTGTTTGCTTTAGTGAAGAAAATAGATTTTTTAAAATCAGAAATTCCAGCTAGGGAGAAGAAATTGAACACTGAAGATTTTCCTATTGCCTTGAATTACTATAAACCAGTGTAATTTTGCTGTGCATCTCTGTACTATTACCTTTCTAGTAAGTAGATGGTAGGGTTTTGAGTGGTTATATTTTTCCAGTTTTGCTTATGTAATGGACACGTATTTGTATTAAAGAGGGACGATAAATAGGAAGTTAGAGGATATTAACTAATCATGAAAGTTACTGTAAAGTATTATCCTCATATGAATAAATTTATCTTTTTGAATATGTAGGTCTCATTAGCTTGAAGCACTCCATGACTCCTTTTTTAAAAGTGGAGCCTTTTCTCCCAGGACACTATGAAGTTTTGGATTTAAAGCCAAATGGCAAAGTAGCATCGGTGGAAATGGTTAAATATCATAACTGTAGAGATGAGCCTCTGCATGCCCTGTATGACAGCGTGGAGAAACTCTTCCCAGGTAAGAAAGCAGAAGCCCACCCACCTGTTCCCCACCTCTCTCCCCCAAAGGAAAACTGTACTCTCACATCACTGGAATGATGTAAGTTCGAAAATCTGTTTCCTTTTTAATTTGGAGGTGACACATTGCAATGTGGCCAACTTCACTGTTGAGCAAATGCCATCATGATAGAGGTAGATGACTGTGTGCCCATTTCAGTAAATAATTCAGCCCAGGCTTTTCCACAGCTATTTAATTTCCTTTATGTGTTAATAGGTTTTGAGATAGAAACTGTGAAGAACAACCTCCGAATCCTTTTTGACAATGCCATTAAGAAACGTTTGATGACGGACAGAAGGATTGGCTGCCTTTTATCAGGTGAAGTCAGTTTAAAAACCTAATTGTATTTAGTGCATATTTAAGTTAAATGATTTATAGCTATCCTGGAGGTTTTGACTATAAAATACTATATGATTTAATCTTTCCTCCATTATAGGATGAAAAAGTTTTCTGTAAGTTGCTTTCAATATTTTAATAATAATGTAGCAAATTAAAGTGATACTATAATTATATTGGCACGAGTGAGCTAGTAAACATTCTTTAGAATGTTCCATGTCCTCCTACTCCACCATCTTGATTCGAGTCCTAGAATGTGTGTAGTGGTTTTCAACCAATTCAAATACTGTTACCATTATCACAGGTTAAATGTTAGATTTTTCTTATTCAAGTTGATTTTCAATTTATAAAACTTGGGGATTTTAAATGGTAAAACTCTAATCTTAGTGCTTAATAGGAATGTAAATCATATCTGTCCCTGTCTTATGTAAGGCCCATAACCACTTGTCTTGCTCATAGGTGGCTTGGATTCCAGTTTGGTTGCTGCCATCCTGTTGAAGCAGCTAAAAGAGGCCCAAGTACAGTATCCTCTCCAGACGTTTGCGATTGGCATGGAAGACAGTCCCGATTTACTAGCTGCTAGAAAGGTAAGACACTGTCTTTGTCTGTTATGTAGTTAAGACAGACTTGTTCGTAATTGATGGTTCTATACTTTGCTGCTGCATTGACTTAGATAATTGTTTTGAATTAAATATATTAAAATGGAATGAAATGCCTGTTGAATATCAACTATGTTGAACACTGTACTCTGGGCACTTTTTTTTTTTGCGGTACACGGGCCTCTCACTGTTGTGGCCTCTCCCGTTGCGGAGCACAGGCTCCAGACGCGCAGGCTCAGCGGCCATGGCTCACGGGCCCAGCCGCTCTGCGGCATGTGGGATCTTCCCGGACCAGGGCACGAACCCGTGTCCCTGGCATTGGCAGGTGGACTCTCAACCACTGCGCCACTAGGGAAGCCCCTCTGGGCACTTTTATCTATCACGACCCATGCAGTCCTCACAAAGACCCTCTGATAATTCCGCCCTTTTGAGAGTTAGGGCATGGTATAGTGGTTCAGGCTATAGGCGTTAGAGCCTGACTGCTGGTTTCAAATCCTACTTCTACCACACAATTCCTCACTTACGCAATGGAAATAATAGTATCTACCATGGGATAGTTTTGAGGTGAAAATTACATAATACTTAATATAAGTGTGTAGGATATAACCTAGTGTGTATGAGTACTTAGAGACTGTTAGCTATTCTTTTTACTTTTCTTTTCTTTTTTTTTTATAAAGTACTGTGTTTAGGGCTGTGGGCAGAGGGGACCTTGTACACATTCAGTGTGCGGGAGACCTCGTTCCCGCTTTGGAGAAACTTGCATAGAATGGCTGAGAAGGAGCAAGCAGGTGGTCCCAAAGCAAGCTGACCAATGCTAAATGAATCCACAATAGCCAAAGGAAACAGAATGAGGGGAGGGGCCATTTAATTTAGGAATAACATCCTGGATGTAAAATTAGGCATTGCAGGAGGGCCAAAAGGAGGTAAAATCAGTGTGAGGGGGAGTGGGAGGCATGCTTGTTCGGGTGAAGTCTTGGCGTGGGAAGAGTGGCTGGGAGCTCTACCTCTCGGTGGTCAGTGGAGGGCAGACACTGGGGGAGGCAAGGGAGCCTGACTAGGTGGGGCTTGTATTCAGTGGCCTAGAGAATCATTTCCCCTTATTGTGGTGGCCTACGGAATCATTTCCGCTTAGTTTGTCTTGTTTGTTTAACACCCTTGTTAATTCATAATGTGTTGTGAACTACAGTCCCGCTTCATTTTCAAGAGTAGTCCTTTAAAACACAAGCCTGTGGGTATTTCTTTGTATAATCAGGTGGCAAATCATATTGGCAGCGAACACCATGAAGTCCTCTTTAACTCTGAGGAAGGCATTCAGGTCCTGGATGAAGTCATATTTTCCTTGGAAACTTACGATATTACAACAGTCCGTGCTTCAGTAGGTAAGGTATTTTATGATCCCAAAAAGATTTTTAATACTGAAAAGGTGTAAGGATTAAACAGTCCTGTTTCAAGCAGTTGTTTAAAAAAACAGTACTCAAGAATGAACACAGGTAAAATTCCTGTGTCAGCAATTGTTGAAGACAAGGCCATTTAAGAATTCCTGAAATCTCTCTTGGAGAGGAACAGTAAATACATAGTTACACTTCCACATTTATGGTATCACTATATATATTTCTCCAAAAAGTAGATACATATGTTTTGCACCACCTTTACCCCAGTTTCTCTGTATAAAAGTTTCTTGGGCTGTATAGGGAAATAGGTCTACGTTGTAACTAATTTCTGTAAGGAATGCTCGTTTTAGATATATTTTGGTAAATATTCCATCATACGACTTATCAGTAACATATTGTGCAGCAAGAAATACTAGTTTTACCCTGTGGATACACACTGAGATTAGAAGCATACTCCCAATCAGACTGATCTAATTTTGCTGAGCCTCTAAAATGCTACTGGCTTAGATATGCCTCTCTTAAGGGATGCTGAATCTGACAGGACTCCATTGCAAAGTTTAGGGTCTGCACCCTCATGCTCTAAACTTTGCAGTAATAGTACAGAGGTGCTGTCTCTCCCAAGGAAGCAAAAATTAGTTCTTGAAGGGCAAAAAAACCTTAGGTATTACAGTGGTTTCTGGCCTTCCAAAGGGCCACAGTACATCAGCAGAAATACGGTATTTCTGGTACTGATATTTCATTGGTGAAGGAGATTAGGGAAAAAGGTCTAAAAAGTATCCCTAGGGAGGTGATAATGAAAAAACAGTTAAGAACAGATACTGGTTTACAGGGATGTGGAGCAGGGACCAACCGCGGGCCTCTCACTGTTGTGGCCTCTCCTGTTGCGGAGCACAGGCTCCGGACGCACAGGCTCAGCAGCCATGGCTCACGGGCCCAGCCGCTCCGCGGCATGTGGGACCTTCCCGGACCAGGGCACGAACCCATGTCCCCCGCCTCGGCAGGCGGACTCTCAACCACTGCGCCACCAGGGAAGCCCCAACCAGCATCTTTTAATGATGCAATATTCTTAACTGTATTTGACATATGCTGAATGGGGAGTAAGTATCAGAAAAAAAGCCCCGAATAAACATTAAGATACCAAAGCCTTAACTTTTAATTTTTTTATAGTGATACTGGTGTGAAAGTTATCACATTTAAGATATTTGAGTCATTGTTCAGCAAAATGTTTTAGCATTTTTAACATTGTTTAGCAAAATTTTCAGATAGACATTCTTGGTCTGAAAGCAGTAATATTTTAAAACCTATATATAAAATTGTGGAAGGGTTTTGGGTTGTTTCATCACAACAGTGCAATTTTTGGATTACATACATAAAAAGATAGGTACCATATAAAGGTATTGTTTTTGCATACTATATTAACAGAGAGTCTAGTCTGATAGCAAAGCTTGCAGTCATTTCCAGAAATCAAATAAAAGGCATTTTTGGTAGAGGGTTATGTGGACATTAACAATAATTTCTGTCTCTTTTTTAAGGTATGTACTTAATTTCAAAGTACATTCGGAAGAACACGGATAGCGTAGTGATCTTCTCTGGAGAAGGTTCAGATGAACTTACACAGGGTTACATATATTTTCACAAGGTAAGCATTCTCAAATGGAGGGATATTGATCCTAGGGGAAGAAAAGTATGAATTATTATTTACCTATTTTCTATCGTTTTTGGTATAACAGTAACACTTTGAATATCTTGTGAGGCATATCAGGAAATCTGATAGTGTCTGTATTTTGGGGGAGAGAAAGAAGTCTTAATAGTGTCAGATAATATCTTTTTTTGAACTAGTTAAGCCTAAGAATCATGTTTCTGTTCTTAGTCTCCTATGGTCTTATGGCTGTCGTACAGCATGTCATTTTATTTGTTCTAGCACTAGCAGTCTTGGTGTGAGGGAAGGTACGTTTTATCAAGCATTTACTCCCTTCCCTAAGCTCTGTTTGGCTTTTTGTCTTACCCACCTTTAGAATTGGAGTTACGTGTACGAGTAAGATATAAAAACTGTTTCATGTGCCAGAAGCAAAGCTTGTGGGTGTATTTGTAACTTCAGCTCTGTTTGCAAAATAGGCTCCTTCCCCTGAGAAGGCCGAGGAGGAGAGTGAGCGGCTTCTGAAGGAACTGTATTTGTTTGATGTTCTCCGAGCAGATCGAACTACTGCTGCCCATGGGTAAACGTGGTATTTTAGGAAGCAATTGTAAAAATAACCTCAAAAAACAAAAGGCTCAGTGGTCGATTTCTTTCTTTCCAGTTAGTATATGTTGCAAAGTATGCCTTCTATAGAGAAAATGAAGCTTGTCTCTTAGTGCAAAAGGATTAGGCTGAATCAGAGTGCTGTTGTCATGGTGAGAGGACATGGATAGGCGGTTTGAGATGGAGTTCCCATCTTGAAAGCACAACATCTTGCCCACTTCTGGGCAACTGAGATGGAAGGCACTTGCAGCTTTTTTTTTTTTTAAGAGAAGTAAAGGTTATACACCTTCATGTTGTGAGCGTTGAGCGCCTGCCATGCCAGTTTGATGCTGTGGGGACCATGTGTGGGGAGAGGGAAGCGAAGATGCAAGAGATTTGATTAGCTTAAAGTTGGCTAAAGTTTTCACTTTTTAAAGCTGGTCATGCTGGAGAATTGAAGACTCTTACTGTACGTGATAAACAACCAATATCAACTCTTTTAGTTGCTTCTGCCAAATCACACTTAGATTAGAAAATAATATGAGGTTGGGGAATGAACTGAGTTCAGACATTTGTACTACTAACTGATGAATAACTTACATTCAGTATAAACCAGCATTCCACAGTGTTTCATCAAAGGCCACATCATCTGTTTCTTGAATCCTGGGGACTCTGGTTAGGACAAGCAGATAGGGTAATAACCGCAGATCAGCATTACAGTTTTTAATAGGACGAGAGAAAAAATTGTGAGTCAGAAAAGTCCAGGCAAAGTACGTTCTTAATGATCAGGTCACTCATTCTTTTTCTGATTTTTGAGTTATTTAATAGTTTACAGAAGGGAAAGTAAAAGTAATTATTCTCCAGTAGTTTGTTTCACTCCCTAGATGATGTAATATGTACTCTGAATGAAGGCTTTTGTATTCATGCATTAGCGTAGGGCAGTTACTTAGGATTATAAAAATGACTTTATAATGTTAACATTACTTAGAGGCTAAGTGAATTCCTAGGAAACTAAGTCTGAATCTAAACAGACAGGCACTAAATATCCATTTTGATTTAGATTTTCTTCTTTTCCTTTTTAAGCCTTGAACTGAGAGTCCCCTTCCTGGATCATCGATTTTCTTCCTATTACATGTCTCTGCCACCAAATATGAGAATCCCCAAGGTGGGTGAATCAAGATAAAAACTGTCAAAAAACCACTGATACTGGTAATATTTAGAATTTTCACTCCTTTTGTTTTCATGTCAGAACGGGATAGAAAAACATCTTCTGAGAGAGACCTTTGAGGACTCCAATCTGATACCTAAAGAGATTCTCTGGCGACCAAAAGAAGCCTTCAGTGATGGAATAACCTCAGTTAAGAATTCCTGGTTTAGGATTTTACAGGAATACATTGACCATCAGGTATCATGTCTTTAAAAGTATTTTCTGGAATAGGATAATTTGGGTGCAGAGGAGTAATCACTGTTCATTTTGTATTTAACTTAAATGTTTGTGTCTGCAGGAGAGATGCCCTATAAACAATACTTCTTTTAAAGAATTCTGTAAGAATAAAGTGGCATCTAGAATAGAGAGAGGAGACTTACCAGTCATCACTGACTTTTTTTTTTTAATTTATCTATTTTATTTATTTTTGGCTGCATTGGGTCTTCGTGGCTGCGCGTGGGCTTTCTCTAGTTGTGGTGAGCGGGGGCTATTCTTCGTTGCGGTGCGCGGGCTTCTCATTGCGGTGGCTTCTCTTGTTGCAGAGCACGGGCTCTAGGCCTGCAGGCTTCAGTTGTAGCACGCAGGCTCAGTAGTTGTGGTACGTGGGCTCTAGAGTGTGGGCTCGGTAGTAGTGGTGCACTGGCTTAGTTGCTGCGCGGCATGTGGGATCTTCCCACACCAGGGCTTGAACCCGTGTGGCCTGCATTGGCAGGTGGATTCTTAACCAGTGCGCCACCAGGGAAGCCCCCTGGCTTTCATCTTACACATTTTTGGGCACCTGTTGGGTGCCAGACGTTATTAGGCACAAATGAATCAAACACTTAGAGCCACCACTTAGAAGAAGTATGCATGTGAATGTTCCTTAAAGGTCACTGCAGCTATGTATATTACGGTATTTTAGCATTTTCTAAGTGATCCAAAGAGTCTCTCACACAATATACATTCATGCCTTTTCTCTTTTTGTTTGTTTTCTGTTTTTGTGAAGCCAGATTAAATACAAGTATTTCCATGCTGGTTAAAAAACCATTTCGCTTCTATCTTGTTATTCTTGCAGGTTGATGACGCGGCGATGGCAAGCGCAGCCCAAAAATTTGCCGTCAATACTCCCAAAACGAAAGAAGGCTATTACTACCGTCAGATCTTTGAACGCCACTACCCGGGCCGCGCCGACTGGCTGCCTCATTACTGGATGCCCAGGTGGACTAGCGCCACTGACCCTTCCGCCCGCACTCTGACCCATTATAAGGCCACTGCCAAAGCTTAGGTATTCCCTGAGCCGTGGAGTGAAAGCAAACATTTCTTCTCATTGTGAAGGGTAGAGGGCTTGGGGGCAGGAAGGGTCAACGGCCCAGGCTTGCTTGGGTGTGAAAAAATAAAAGTCTTAAATCTGAAACATTGCTCTAGTCATTTATATTCATACAGCCCCCTCATCAGAGGTAGCTAGAAACTGAACAGCTTTCACTGTATCACAATAAGAGAGTGAGCTAGGAAAGGGGCAACAGTCTGATGTTTGGGAAGCCTCACATGCCCTCTCCTGGCAGAGCTACTGGAGAGGACTTTTGGGTCTCATGCCAGCAGGGCCTCCTTCCAGGCCTTGCCTCATCTACGTGTGGTCCTCCTCTGACCTCCTCCCTTAGTTCTTCCTGCATTCCTAACAGCTGGCTAGTTACATCTGGAGAAGTCAGTCCTTTGTAAGACTTTGACAGCTCTATTTTGTAAGATATGTTGACTGAATACTGCACAGCCTAAAAGTTGAGAATTAAGTCATCAGAAAATCTGCCAAATAAAACTTACTTAAGCCCAGAAGACAGCCTCTCAGATTGTTCTGAGGGACTGGTCCGCAGAGGTAAGGGAGGAGCCAGGATATATAGTTTTTGCAACAAAGACCAGGTAGTCCAGAACATCAAAAGATTACTGTTAAAACCAAACATCTCAGGTTAATGAATTTAGTGCATTTCTCTGTATAGGAAGAGGCAAGAGTCTGGGCTAATTGAAATCATTCCTTTGATATGCATCTTAACTGTCTAGGGCCAGTATCCTACTTTTCTCCATCCTGAATCCCCTCAGGGTGCACAGTGGCAGGTGGCTGATGGCTTGATGGCTGCAATATCCTTTGCTTACTGATATGGCAGCCAACATTTTTCATCCAGGGATAGTAATTTATATTTTTTTCTGTTGAGCCAATGTCTCTTCTGGAACTATCATTGTAAAGCACGAGTCAGCAAACTTTTTCAGGGCTAGACAGTAAATATTTTCGGCTTTGCAGACCTCTCTTGGAACTGTTCAGCTCTGCCATTATGGTGCAAAAGCAGCCACAGACAGTATGGAAACTAATGGGCAAGGCCATATGCAAACATATGGGCATGGCTGTGTTGTATTAAAACTTTATAAAAACAGGCAGTGGGCTGGATTTGGCCCATTGGCCATACTTTGCCAAGCCCTGTTCTAGAGCCAGGCATTTCTGATAAAAGGAAAAAGCATTCCAAAACTAGTTGGAAGAAGAGAAAATATAACAAGGAAACATTCAATTAACAGGTAGAATTTCATTTGACTGCTCATTGGTTATTTAGGGACAGGATTTTGAAATATATTTTAAAGATGAATTTAGTTATTACAGATTTTTGAAGAGGAAACTGCTGATGCACAGGTAAATAACAGAATGCTTCACGGGAAGAGTGAGTAGCCCAGGAATTTAGCTGGTAAGTTGGGGACTGTTTAAGCCTACCTGTTGGCCTTCACTTATTTTTAAAAAGTCTAAACATTCTCTGACATAAATCGTACCAATGTTATCTTAGGTCAGTCTCCCAAAGCAATAGAAATAAAAGCAAAAGTAAACAAATGGGACCTAATCAAATGCGCAGGCTTTTGTACAGCAAAGGAAACCATAAAACAGACAACCTACAGAATGGGAGAAAATATTTGCAAATGATGGGATGGACAAGGGTTTAATTTCCAAAATAAGCAGCTCATACAACTCAGCAACAACAAAAAAACCCAACTGAATAATGGGCAGAAGACCTAAATAGACATTTCTCCAAACAAGACATAGAGATGGCCATACAATAAGGGACCACCTCACACTGGTCAGAATGGTCATCATTAAAAAGTCTACAAACAAATTCTGGAGAGGGTGTGGAGAGTAGGGAACCCTCCTACACTGTTGGTGGGAATGTAAATTGGTGCAGCCACTATGGAGAACAGTCCTTGAAAAACTAAAAGTAGAACTACCATATGACCCAGCAATCCACTCCTGGGCATATACCCAGACAAAACTAATTTGAAAAGGTACATGCACCCCAATGTTCAAAGCAGCACTATTCACAATAGCCAAGACATGAAAACAACCTAAATGTCCATCAACAGAGGAATGGATAAAGAAGATGTGGTACTTACATGCAATGGAATATTAGTCATAAAAAAGAATGAAATAATGCCATTTCCAGCAACATGGATGGACCTGGAGATTATCATACTAAATGAAATCAGAAAGACAAATACCATATGATACAACTTACATGTGGAATCTAAAACATGACACAAATGAACTTATCTACAAAACAGAAACAGACTCACAGACATAGAGAACAGACTTGTGGTTTCCAAGGGGGAGGGAGGTAGGAGGTAGGGGAGGGATGCACTGGGAGTTTGAGGTTAGCAGATGCAAACTATTTATATAGAATGGATAAACAAGGGAATTATTTTCAATATCCTGTGATAAACCAGAATGAAAAAGGATATGAAGAATAATGTATTAATATATATATATGTATAACTGAATCACTTTGCTGTACAGCAGAAATTAACACAATATTGTAAATACTTCAATAAAATAAATTTTTTAAAGTCTCTAGAAAGCTGAGGAAATGTCATTAATTAATATTGGGTGACTGTTAATGATAATCTTGTATTTGTAAGTGCTTGAATTGCTTAAACCCGGCATGATTTGATGCCAGGCATGTCCATTCATGGTGCAGCCTCACCCAGCTAAGCTAAGTGACACCAGAAATGCTTGGGAGACTTAGCTAATAGTGATTACCCAGGGTGCACTGCAAGATTAAGGTATGCCGTAAACCACAAACTACCAGTTTTTGAGGGTATGAGCTTGGGCTTCAGATTTTTAACTTTAGTGACTCTGTGATCTGGTGTGGTTTTAGATACCACCCAAAAGTTTGACAGTAGAGATACGAGTAGTCCTGCAGGTCAACCATGACGGCAGCAACTCGCTAGATAACAAACTGTCTGTGAGACCTACATAATATGCTAGGCACATGGTATAAAGTGAGCCTTTTCTTCTGCAACTAAAGTAGCTGAAGAAACTGTGGCCACTGGGACATGTGCACATGACTTAGCAGCTACATACAGGCCAAGCCTGCTTTCCTGGACTTTTCTGATATTGATGACTCAGTGCTAAGGAGGCATGTGGTTTCTAATCCACACAGCACTGTTACCAACAGATAATCCAATCCCTTCAGCAGAAACTAAAAGATTCTTAGCTGATCTTGTCCTGCCTTTTCAACCTCATTCGCACACCTTAGTGGATGATGTGCCCTTTAAGAGTTGTTTGTTTGTTTTTCTTAATGAAATTGTGATATTTGCAGCAACATGGATGGACCTAGAGATTAGCATACTGCGTGAAGTCAGAAAGATAAACACTGTGTGATATCACTTATATATGGAATCTTTAAAATAATACAAATGAATTTATTTACAAAACAGAAAGACTCACAGACATAGAAAACAGACTTAGCGTTACCAAAGGAAAAAGGGGGAGGGGAAGGGATAAATTAGGTATTAACACATATACACCACTATATAGAAAATAAATAACAATGATTTACTGTATAGCACAGGGAACTATATTCAATATCTTGTAATAACCTATAATGGAAAAGAATCTGAAACATACGTATATGAGAATGTACATATATATATATAATTGAATCACTTTGCTGTACACCTGACACTAATATTGTAAATCAACCATGCTTCAATTTAAAAGATTTTTTTCACCTTAATACTGTAGAAAACTTACTTTATAGTTTTGATAGCAAGATGTATTTCCATTAAAAAAATGAAATATTAGAAACACCTCAATCCTACCGCTGTTTTCAATAGTTTTAACATTTTCTTGCAGATCTTTAGCTGTAAAAGCACAGTTGTACCTATGCAAGAATATGATCTTAGTTAAATAAGGCCTCAAAGCTTCTTAAATCCTTTACAAGGAAAATAGAAAAAGGAACTAACCTTGGGCCTGCTGGTGTCAGACCATTGTGTGAACACCTTGTTGAAGCCTCAGAGCCTTCTCCTCGATTCCTCCTGCCTTGGGGTTGCCTTAGTTTGGTCTTGAGTCTGAGATAACAGATTCTTGGAGTGGGTCCCCACGGCGGGGAAAAGCCAGCCACAGGGAGGCAGTTCCATATAGCTCTAAGCCTGTGCAGTGGATAAATTACAACATCAAGCACGTACCTACCAACTGTTGTAGTACTTTATTGCATTAGCTCATTTAGTGAGTTAACCCTCATTCTGAGGAAGCGTGGCAGATTTTATTTTCTAAAAGTGGCCACAGCAGTATTTCTGGTCTCACAGACTGCCAGAGACTTGCTGTGCCCTTGAAGAAGCAGTGTGCTTCCCCTCTTCTTGAGCCTGGGAAGAATTTTATGATTGCCTTGACTGGTAGAATCTACTAGAAAGTGACCTCTGAGGATAGGTCACAAAAGGCGAATCGGCCTCTGCTTTCTCTCTCTCGATGTGTGCCGTAAGGAAGCCCGGGCCACACGGAGAGGCCATGTGTAAGAGGGCTGACAGCCCCAGCCATGGTCTCGGTCAATGTCAATCACTAGGGGTGGGGTGAGTGAACCCCCAGATGATTCCAGCTCCTAGTCTGAGCCTTCCAGCTGAGGCCCCCTTCATGGGGAGCGGAGATAAGCCAACCCTGCTGTGCTCCATCCAAATTCCTGACTCATCAATCCATGAGCCTAATAAATGGTTGTTGGACACCATTACATTTTGAGATGGTTTCTTACACAGGCATAGTAGCTGGCACAGGTAAGCACTATTACGTCTATTTTACACAGGTTAAGTCACTTGCCCAAATCATTCAGCTAATTACTAAGTGGTGGAGCCCCAAGTTAGCCAGACAGATTGGCTCTAGAGTCTTCGTGGTGTTCTTTCCTGACTATCCTCCCAATACTAGCATGAAAGTACAGCCCGGGTCTCTGCTGTGAATTAGGAACTGGGGGAAAGGGGCTTCTCTAGAGTTGAGTTGGGAGCAGAAGCAGGGAGAGATGGGTTACCTCCCAGGCAAGGCCAGTGATGCTAATCATCTTCTGTAAAGGGCTAGGTTAGATGATGAGAAAACAATCCCACATCTTCAGTGCATTACCACAACA